TACTGTTTCGCCCATGCTACCCCCCATGCGTTGCCATTCCTGAGGACTCAGATGTTATTCCTCTGTACCCTGTAAATTCACGCCATATGCCACCCTTCAAACCGAAACACAGCCATGCAAACACTACTGCTTCACGGTAGAAACACGAATGGAAAAGAGGTATCCAAGCAATCGACTTTTGTACAAAGTCTCTCTCTGGTAAAATTCAGGTAAAAGACAAAATTAATACGGAACTGACTCAAGAGTATTTTATACAAACGTAAAAATATTTATCAAAATCGGTTCTAAGTTGATCAAGACTTACACGCGTTTATATTCACAGAAAAAAAAATAGAATCGTGACAAAAATAGTTTGAATTTGGTCATCTTATAAACAATAAAATATTATTTTTAACGGAAGTGTTAGTTGTCTATGTGTGTTTAATATATTATTACATATTAATATTACATTTTATTCATGAAATTAAAATAAGTATACAGAGTTGTGTATTATAGTGACGTAGGTAATTATGCAAAACAATTTATATATGATAGAAATATTAATGGGCAACATCTTTATCCATTATTTATGTTATATGTTCGTAGGTAACATTTACGGTGTACAAAAGTTGTAAGCTAAGTAACTTAACTTTACATAGGTAGTGCTTTTTGTAAGTTCATATATTTGTAACTTACAAAAAGTAGAATAATATTTTGTATTTAATTTAAAATAGTGCTATCCATTTTATATTACAATTAACACGTAGTTTTAATTATCGCGCCGCTCGCCATCGACATGGAATTCTTTTTCACATGCTTGAACCTAAATGGTCACGTACAGTGCAGTTTCAAAGGGATTTTCTTCCACTAATGCTCAGGCCGTGGAATAAGCACCCGCTGACGTTTTCACTAGAGACTACAGTATGTGAGTTTTCAAAAAGGGTTTATTAAGGTTTCTTCAGGGGCGGCAATGCGCACGTGACACCCCTAGTGTTGCAGGCGTTCATAGGCTACAGTAACCGTTTACCATCAGACGGGCTGTGTGCTTGTTTTCCATTTTCGTGGTATAAAAAAAAGTCATGATTGATACAGCAGATTTTTTTGCGACTCAAAATATTGTTTCATGAGGACAATCGCAATAGTAACGATGCGATTTAATTATTGAAATACAAAACAATAATTTAAAACTAATCTCCTTATTCATAAAAACTAAAACTTTCTATAAACCTATTTATCTATCTATTATAGACCTATTTATATATCTATTATATATCTATTATACAGTTTTGTCTCTTTCTTTCAAATTGGAAATATAGCATAAAGATAGCTAAAATCAATAACTTTTCAAAAACAGCTTATTGATTTGATATTTTATTTGTTTAGTTTGTTATAATACAGAGATGATTTAAAAGAATAAAAAATACCTCTAAAATTCAGTTGAAAAGTCGAAAAATTTGAAAGAGGTTCCGAATTTGATTAATTACGGATCTTTTTGGCTCATCTGATTTGTATGGAAATTGTTACTTCAGATTACTATTAATAGATGATATGAAGTTCACCGGTCAGATACAGAAAAAAACAATTCCCAGTTGAGAATCGACAAGTTTGTAATAATTTTAATTAGAGCATGTAAATTACCAATCAGTCTAATGATTCATGTTCATCCCTAAATACAGACACCAGAAGAATTTTAGCTTTGTGGCAACATATTTAGGAAAACCTTACCTATGTAATTCTCATTGCTGGCATACATTAAGTAATTACTTTATTATTATATACAGTTTAACGGCTCCACCTAGTAATAAACTATTCACTAGGTTAAAAAACCGGTTTTGAAATAAGTTCATTGTATTCTTTAAAGATTTAAAATGCACTTGTTTATTTCTATTTATTATTTAAATAAGTCGAGTAGCTATCATAAATCAAATTAATAAATTTACGGTGAATAGTAAATTTCTTGTATAAAACGTGTCGCTCATAGTACTTAACGGCAAAAAAACAAAATTTTCCAGAATCTTCTGACCTGTTACCGTAGGTATCTTAACTTGGGCTTAGCAACTCTGATAACATGTTGAATGTACCGGTTTTCGTCCGGTCACCGAAAGTATCGATGGATGAATAGTGTCTTGGGGTCGGATATGTCGAGTTTTAGATTCGTTATCCGCGGATAGATAATATAATAGTTGTCAATAACAAAGTACAATAACTGTTTGGGAAAGCACTAAACTGTTCGCCACTAATAACGCTAAAATAGAAATCTACATAATACACGCGTATGTATTTTCTTAAGTGAAATCTTCGATTCTAATTCTAAACTGTTTCCTATTTTCGCTAGAAAGATTGTTCTGCGGTCGATCACTAAGTAACTTAAAGTACATACTTATGAACAGGAAGAGCAGTAAGTGTAAAAGTCGCGAATGTTTCATTATTCCATACAAACCTGTTGTAGACTTTAGTTGTTTTCAAATTTCTGTTTGCGAGAAATTCTATGTATTTAGTGAACTTCAACAAGTATCTTTTATGTAATTAAATAATTGCTATTTATTTGATATATACACACATAGGCGTATTTATTAAATAAGCTATTTTGGTATTATATTATTTATAACCAGAGGGAGACTTTGTACAAAAGTCGATTGATTGGGTACCTCTGTCCCATTCGTGTTTCTACCGTGAAGCAGTTGTGTTTGCGTGGCTGTGTTTCGGTTTGAATTGTGGGATATGGCGTGAATTTATTGGGTACAGAGGAATAACACCAGAGTCCTCGGAAATGGCAACGCATGGTATCATGGGCGAAACAGTATACTCTGTTATGTCCATGGTACTGCTCATGTCTATAGGTGACGGTTACCACTTTCCATCAGATGGGCCGTCAGCTTGTTTGCCATTCTAAGTTGTATAAAAAAAAAATTATGTTCATAACATTAAGCAAAATCTGTCATATAAACATGTGAAAATTTTTGATAGTTTTCTAGATTCAATAATTTTTAAACGGGAGAACGAATTTGATGAATTTTTAGTTGAACCCTTTATTTAGACTATATTTTAAACAAATATCATTATCGTCATCATATCAGCCTTTAATTTTCCACTGCTGAATATAAGCCTTCCCCTTAGGGGGTATTGCCAATAGTTACCACGTTTACAACCGCAGTTAGGCTTTAGAAATGTTTTAAAAGGGACGTTGCTGCCAATCCCTCGCCCTCCCTTAGTCACCTCTTACGACACCCATAGAAAACGAAGGGGTGGCTTATTCTATGCCAGGACCAGGACAAGATTAAATAAATATATTTTATTTCAATTCACATGGTAATAAAAACTGCACTATATAGATAGCAATTAAATATTAACTGTATGTACATAGTCGTATATTTATCATTAAAAATAATTCTGTTAAAAGAAAACAATAAAAAACTATAGAATATAGAGAGATGATAGTAACTAGATTAGTTCGTCTTTCCTCCCATCCGCATCCCAGGACGCATCTGCGCAGTATGCTCTATGAAGAACGACCGTCCTTCACTGCGTCCGTGACCTTGCCGGTCGATGACCCGAGCTTTTACTTTTCTTCTATACACATTTCGAGGCACGTATTACATTGAGTAATTTCAATTAATCATTAAACGCTGTTATATCTTTTTTACGTTGTCATAGAATAAAAACTATAATGTGAACATGTAGATACATCTAAGTAGTACTGTTTTTAAATGCATGACTAAATAATTTTTACATATTGAGATCCTAAAATAAATAAAACACGCCAAATATACAGTACAATTTAAGATTTCCTCTATTTTGTAAAATTAAAAATGTTTGTGAATCCCATAAATCATATAAATGGGGAGACAAATTAAACCCTATTTATGGTTTCCGTGGAGTCCATCATAAGACCTTGACCTTGACGAGACCAACAACACGGAAGTATGACTATGATATAACAAGAATAATTTTTAAAATTGTCCAATTTTTTTTAGTTTCGATCTTTAATAATAAGTACCTGTCCTGATATACGAGGTAATAAAATAAAACACAAAAAGTATGTAGTACGTTTTCTAACTTCGTCTGACCGAGAATTAACATCCAATATTGTGAGAAACCATCAATTATGATTTTTCAGATTGACTTCTTCTCCAAAAAGCTCACTTTACATACACATTTCCTTTACATTAGAATCGATCAAAATGCTACATACATTTTGCTCCAACACGCAAAATGTAATTAAATAACAAGTCAAAGTAAACCAAACTTGGAAATTATAGTACTCTTAATACCTATATTAAATACGAATCGCAGTTATGTATGCCGAACTTTAAACATCACGTCAAACGTGATTGCACTGCACGTTTATTTCTTCATAGCTGGCCGTGTCAAATCTGCTATGATTTATAGGAGTTTATTATATATATAATTTCGCTATATACGTTTGTCGAATTTTCTGTACTATAGGATAATTAAAGTCGTACAAAGAATTAGAGTTTGTTTCAATAGAATTTAATCAAATTGTAAACGAGAGTACAATTAATTCATAATACAGTTTCCAATAACAGTAGAAATAGAAAAATTTATGACTTGTTTCAATACATCGATTTATTACAAATTTCATTTCGAGAGCGTTTTTGTGATAATTTCAATAAAATTTGGTTTTCATTTAATTGTATTGAAACTGACAGAAAACTTGAGTTCACGTTTGTGTTAATAAATTTGTGCCTATGTGAATTTCCGAAATAATTCGCTAGGGGCTTAACAATTTTTTCCCATACGTAATAGCAGTAGTAACGTAAATTTTTGTTAAACTCACAGTAAGGTTACTAACAGTTAAGATTACTGTTAAATAGAAAATTCCACATTACTTCCATTAACGCCATATTATAATACTATATTGGTATAAAAAATATTGATGACACAATCTAAGGGAAACAAAATAGGTACCTACCAGTAACTGCATACGTAATGTCTCCTGAAATGTTTTGAGTTTTTCATAATATTTTGACCTAAGTTAATTAATAATTAAAATTACTCACTGTTAGCACATTTCTGGGGCACGGGAAGCGAAAGGAAGCGTCCCGGCTTTTGTGCAACGGCCAGAGTCACCAGCGCTGCAGCGCACGCCACCAATAGCCACGTCTGCATCTGTTAAAGAAGTAAATTAGTTATTAAGTAGCCTTAATAATTCAAACTAGATAACTTAACAGGTCTTTTAGTAACAACACTGAGCATGTGGTGGAAACCAAACAATGAATAATTTTGTATGATAACACACTTACGCATAACTTATTTTACAAAGTTTCTAACTGCATATTCTACGGTTTGTATTACACAGAAACTTTATTGAGTAAACAATAGCTAATTATTTAAGTTCTCTTTACACGGTTGAAGTGGTATATGCAATTTTTGTTCTATTCATTTTACTTGACCGATATTACAGATTATAAAAATTTTAAATAACTCCATTAAGTAGAAAAATATATCGTATCTTTTTCCTTTTTTGTTTTTTTTTTAATAAGTATCGACACAAAAGTGTAATATATCATCCTTTCTCAAGTTCCAGCAAAATTGGATTTTTTAGCATTTTTAGCATCTATGTATCCGTCCAGTTTAAATGCCAAACATTTAGTTAATATACGGCGTCGTACGGGTGGACATTTTTACATTTTAAAAAGTGGCCATTAAGGCTGCACACGCGACGGAAGCTTAAAAATGGAGTAACTTCTGTTTTCCCAACATTTGCCTTCACTGCTCTACTCCTATTGATCATAGCGTGATGAAAAGTAAACTATAACCTGCCCAGGAGTATGAAAAATATTTGTACCAAGTTTCGTTAAAATCCGTCGAGTAGTTTTTGTTTCTATAACGAACATACAGACAGACAGACAAAAATTTTACTGATTGCATTGTTGGCATCAGTATCGATCACTAATCACCCCCTGATAGTTATTTTGGAAATATATTTCATGTACAGAATTGACCTCTCTACAGATTTATTATAAATATAGATTTGATAGGTAGTCGCAATATAGTGTTATAATATGCGAACGCAATTCAATAAGTTACGATTAGTCACGATTGAGTTTATTTTGGTAATACCTCCGGCGTCTCCTGTATATACGTAAGTCATCTTTCGCAATCCTGCGATGTGAAATTTTATACGAATTTTAACGGCATAAATTCAGTAAAAGATGCACGTCCATACAACATGCTATTCAAGAAAGCTATTGCGTCAATATTAAAAGTTTTTTTCTATAGTACAAATCAAATTGAATATTGTCACCCACGTTTGTATAAGCTGACTAGAGCACTGGACCGCGTTGCGCGTCTCATATTGTGTAATATTGCCTTTTTTAGTATAACGATGTGTAGTTAGTTCAACAAACTAAGACATTTCATCGCACAATTCATTCATGTTTTATCCTCGTTAGCTTGTAACTTGGCGTGTCATGTAAACCTAATATACCGTACAAATATTTAAATTTCATGATGTCATACAAGTGGCAACTTTGAAAGGGGCTATTGGATTGTTTTTATATTCTCAATGCGTTGTGTTAGGCCGGTGGTACATTGGTCAACTAACATTATATAATCGCAAGTGTGTCGCCAACAAGCCAATGCCCCGAGCGATATATGTGACTAATGAATTTTTCTCGATCTTATAATAGGTATAGATAGTATCGGAATCACTCCGATATCGGAGATATAGAGATATCTATATATTGGATCCCTCGGGACATTGATGACGAGGAAAAAGGAGTTACACATATTAGTAGCGTTCATAGTAGTTGGACATCAATATTCATTTCGATCGGGTTCTTCATTTAGATATTAGGTATTGAATATTGGGTTAAAATATAGATATTGTAACTGCAATATACAGATATTGACCATACCCACCCCTACTTTATAACTGCAAAATATACCATGACAGCATACTCTATAATATTACTTCATTACTTATTAATAATTTGAAAAAATAATGACATTTCTAAAACAGGCATTCTGAATTTTGTCAACTCGAGTAAAAAGGTATTATTTAATAAGTTTTCGTGTTGAACTTTATTATTAACTTAAGCCTCATCAATTAAGTACACAACCATTACATTTATGACTAAACCTGTGATGTGCGAACAAATATTATTACGAACATGGAAAAAAAATACGATAGAGGATCTGTGGATCCGCGAACGTGGCTGAGATAAAAACTTGTATGAATAATGTCATGGCGTTATATTGCTAACCCGGAAACGTTTGTTGTCAGGCGGTACATCACGCGTATCAACCTACATCATATAACCTTGACATGCATGTACCTTATAAGTCGTATAGTGATATTAATATCGCAAGCAGAGAATCAATAAAGTGAGACAACAACTCATCACAACCATTTTTATAGTAGCATGTAGTCGTGCAGTCTCAGGGTTGGCTTTAATTAATTTCCTCAGTCGAATATGGCAATTACTGTAAAGGTACTGTTAATTTTACTATTCTAATACACCTACAACATAAATCATTATCTTCATCCTTCAGATCAAACAAAAGCATGCAATGCCGATCATGTAACGGAAGTTCTTAATATTTGGTCGACACAGTATTTTTTGTGATACTCGGAAGAGCAACAAGCTGACGGCCCACATAATGAAAAATGGTAACCGTCGCCTACAGACATGACCAGTACTATGGGCATCAAAAAGTATCTTGTCTCACCCATAATATTTCTCGTGGATTACCATTGCTAAGGACTAAGGTATCACGCGTCTGTGCCGTGTAATATTAGAACCATATTACACCCTTCAATCAAAACATAGCGCATGCAAGTAAAACTGCTTCACGGCAGAAGAATAAGTGGCAAAGAGGCATCTATGCAGACAACGTTTGTTTAAAGTGTCCCTCTGGTACATATGTTTTTGCCTTCCATTTGATCCTGACTCTTTGGCACGGCCCAACAACATCCTTTTAGAATCATTATTTAAAAAATCAGTCATTTAAATTCTTTTAACCAAACAGCCCTTCTTCAGTGTTTCTCGTAATATGGCTATTAAATAAGTAGTATATGTGCTTTTAGACATATATATAAAGTTTTGCTCTAGATTCTGGTAAGCATCAGACGATTATACGAATTTCCCCTTAAAATCGTCTACAATCACTCGAAGATTTATAATCAATACAATACAATTTTACACGAATTCTATTCACTACGATTATGTGGCGGTGATACCTATCGAGATCCGTTCACTTATATTTACAATACGGCATTAGATTTTCCCACTTTTAAAAGATAGTATTCATTAGTTCGATTAAAATACGTGTAATCTTTCATAATGTGAATGTATTTATTATACGCTCAAATAAAGATCATTGATGGCCTTCGTAGCAAAAGTAATTACAACCAGAGGCCGGGGTACAACAATGGCACAAGTGTTCAACAGTTCAATGGTATTCTTCGCGGATCTGTGTCTCAATCGCGAATTTAGTGCGAGGTTCACAGGCACAATGTATTTGGCTAGGGTTTTGCAACGAGACGTCTGACGAGGCCGCGGCCAGTCAGTCAGTTTTGGTCACGATCTTGCAGCTTCGTGCAGTAGTGCGCTGCACTCCATCTGGCGCCTTGCTAAATATTAGCTCACCAGCGATTTAAAGTGTTTTGTTTAGCGTACACTGCTACAAAATTTTGAATTCTTCCCCAAGATTTATAAGTAGAGAACGCCATTAGCCAATTATTTTCAAGCCGGCTTTTATATCAGCGATTTTCACAGTTTTATTTCTAATCGTTTGATTTATCTTGAAACGCGATCTACGAGTATATATGTGTTTTATTTTATTGGTTTTCCAACTTCTGAGTCCGCGCTTAACAAGTAGCGGGCAAATGTTTTGTTGGTCAATAAAATGTAATTAAATATTATATATTATAATACAATCTGTATTTGACGAATGATAGGAATTTATAAAAAAAAATACAATTAATTACGTAAAAAGAAGTAACAATTCTTAAAATTATAGATAATCTATGAAATGTCTCATTTAATGAAAATACGTTCTAAAATCCACGGCAATATTATTAGAAATTACTTTTTCATAAGATGTAACGATCTCATTTCTCTTTTCACATTATTTAAATAATATGTTTAGATATGTAAGTTGTTATTGTTTATATGCAGTAGGTATATAATTATTATATTACCATTGCTTTACTGTCGTAATTTGCCAGGAGAAACTCTTTATAGACGACAGCTGGTGCATACAAAATACAAAATTTAATAAACGCATGTTTGTATGCAGATTCTTGTACAGGTCATGACCGTTTACAATGGGTCTACAGCTGAGTGATTAATGATGTGAATTCGAAATTAGTATTAGCTCTAGCTGTCGACTAAACATAAATATAATAAAACTGTGTGTGACTCGAGACTGTGCACAAAAATAATGTTAACACCAACGGTAGTAATGATATGTCGAACTTTAGTAGTCTAGGTAATTAATAATATGTTTGTAAACACATAATTAAAATAATTTCATTTTCATTTCATATTCAGTAGTAATAAGTTACGTTCAATTTTTTGCTTATACTGCGTTAGGTATTCCTACTATATAAAATTTATAGGATATTCTGTCTACTTGATACCAAAAAAAGTGCATTGTATTGAGCATATTGGGACTATTAAAAGCTATTCGAAAGGACAAAAACTAGATCAATTCTTATAAAATTATAAAGTATGAACAAAATCATGTAAAAGTAAGCGTATAAAAATAAAAAAATAAATATATGAATCAATAGAATCCTTGGTAACTTTGATTAAATATTTGAAACTTTAAATAAATATTTGAACAATGAACCGGTATGATTTTTTCCATATATACGTAAATTACTTATACGGTAAATATCCTCAAAGAAATAAATTGACGTAACCTGCTAAGTCGGTATGCAACCATACTTAATATTTTATCCTTTGTCAACGAACATGAATAGACATAAAATTACTAACATCCCAACCGGCCTCGAAGCTCGCAAGTTCAATGTTAAATATTATAAAACTATTTGTTTGAACCATCGTGACATAAGGAACCTCTTCGCACTCTGCTAATACCTTCGACCTCGACGAATATCGATCGTGTGGCAAAGGCCTTGTCGCCGGGTCGCTCTT